AACTACAAGTTCACGATAGATTTCTATCGGTGGTTTTCGAGAGAGAAATACATAAACGTATCTCATCCACGATCCTATTCACCCCGAGAAAAGTCCCTTTCTTTGCCGAGCCCTTCTTTCTTGTTTCTGCAAAATCTGCAAAACGATCTTGTTATAAGCGCAATACATCGTCACCCTCTCTGTTCGCGTTCGGGAAAATATCCGTTTGGAAGTTCGAAGAAACATATCAGGCATCGAATGGGACTGGGATCGAGTTCGGAAAAAGTTTTGCGTCTGCGGAGTTACAACGAAAGGACGGCCCTTTGGTAGGTGTTTCAAAACTTTCGATATATCTCGCTCCTCGTATACGTACGACGTGTTCATGAAACGCATAATCGTGACGAGAATAATATCTTTTGAAATTCGAAATCGAAAAGAGGGAATGGAGAAATTTCGCTTTCTTTGATCGTTTCGGATCTTCTTGGGATTTATGAATTTTACGTTAAAATAGATCTTAATGATTCCTCGAAGTTAGTATATATATATATATATATATATATATATATATATATATATGTATAAAAAGAAAAAGAAAAAAAAGGGAAAATATCGATCGAACAGAAAGAGAATTTATCGCGTAGAAAATTAAAAGTATATCACTACATAGCTAAAAGGTATTGAAATGTACAAGCTTCGTTTTAACGTGATCATCGAATAATACATTCGATCGCAGCTGTCCGCTTAACAATTATCGGCATTATTGTCAGCTAATCGGTAGGACGAAGCTTAGTCGTACGGCGAAGCGTGCAATTTGCACGATTTTATGGCTCATTTTGTTCCCTGCAGAATAATTTCACCCTACACCGAAAGGAAGGACGGATGAAAAGGGGGAGAAGGACAGATCGGAACATCGTTGGCTTCTACCTTCACGCTTGCTTCTTTTTTTTTAATATATATATATACATATATATACATACATATATATATATATATATATATATATATATATATATATTCCTTTTCCCTATCTTTTCTTTTTTTCTTTTTCTTTCTTTTTCTTTTTTTTTTAACGAAAAGAGAACGAGACGAGCAACGAATTTACTTTCTAATGACAGATTTATGCCTGTATGTCGCAATTTATCCAAATCATTGATCCGACTATTTTTATTAGTTAAAAAGGAAAAAAAAATCGGATGGAATTAATTAGTATTGATGTTATCATATACTTCGTACAAAGAGATTGACAATTCGATGAACGCGATTGCGCGATTTTCAGGAAGCACGAATATGGCGGTCACGTTTCGATCAGGCATATGTACATAATTATCTCGCTCTTTCGTTTACATTGCTATTCATTTTACTACTATTGCATATTACTACTCGATACGCCGTGCGACCACGATAACGTCTGCCTACCCGTAATGATGCGCGATATAACTAGGACTTAATACTCATAGAAGCCGGGAAGCATATGGCGCTCTCTCTACACGACGCTTATCTCCGAGCGGTAAATTATTAAAAATAATTCTCCGACCGTTCTCTCTCGTCGTCGAATGAAAAACGATTTTATTGCCACTTGACTAGACACACGGTTCTTTGATATTTAAAATTCGATCTCGTTTTTTTTTTTACTTCTTATTTTTTCCTTTTTTCTTTTTTTCTTTTTTTTTTCTTTTTTCACAATTTTCCTTTCCAATGTTTTCACGAACGATTTGATATTTTAAAAATGGGAGCAAAGATCCTACCGAGTAGTTCGTCATTGCATCTTTCAAGGAGGAATTTTCCATCGTAATGAAAAGAAACAAAAAGGAAAAAAAAAGAAGAAAAAAATGGAGAAAAGCAAAATTACGAGTAAAGATTCCACGGTAAGAAAAAAGTAAGAAAAGGATATGCCAGATACAAAGAGTCTTATTATACCGGCTCGTTAGATTACCTGGCGAACGGAAGGCGCCCCTTATTCACGAAATACGTATCTCTCGCCATCAGTCATCTCGTTAAAAGGGCTTAACGTCCTCGAGACGAGAAGGCGAGAATTGATATTTTCAAAGCGACGAGTGATAAATTCGTGAAAGTCTTTCATTTAAAGGCTCTGCTTAGTAGAAATATTTGTACCTCGTACCTCGATCCTTTACAGTACCATCCACCCAACTCTATACATATACGTTACCTATACAAGTACATAGACCACCCTACCAAGTAACATTTCATTTGCCGAAGGAGAGAGGGTGGTTCGTAAAAATTTACAGAACTCAAGCGGCCTGTGCTATTTCTTCCCTCGTAACGTGGGCGACTCGAACTTTTGTAAGAAAAGTCGGTAAATTTCTTTCCCGTCGAAACCGTTCCAAACGCAAGGGAATATTGGAAACGCGGTCGGCCATCGTCGTCGTCGTCGTCGTCGTCGTCGTCGTCGTCGTACGTAACGTACTTACGAGGAAAACGGGGAAAACGGTACAAATAACTACCGTGAAAGCTTCGCGCGACTGCTCCCTTAAATTTCGTAATCCGCGATAAATAGCGTCGTATAAACAACCGTTATAACTCATCGAAGGCAAATCGAAGGCGTGAGAAAGTTCGCGACGGCGCCTGTTCCGCCCACCCTTGCCAATTTTTTTCTCGGCACGCTAATTACACTCCCACCCTAAGCGTTAACTTTGCCGACTCGGTAAATAACTGAACGAGAAACGTGATCTGCTTTCTTCGAAATTAAATTACCTACCGTTTATCTCTAATGAATCTGATTTCTTCGATCAAATAATATTCCAACAGAAATACTAATTTTATTATACTCTATCGTATAAGATTATATATTTGATAACTATAGCTAGATATTTTAGAATTATTATAAAAATTATTATAATTATCAAAGATTAATGATAAACAAAAATATTGATAACGTAAACATATAAGTTGAATTTTACGATTGAACATCGATCATTATAATGAAAAGAACGTAATCTCGAGATGAACGAGAAAACATCAGGATCGATTTATACCAAAGAAACAATTCTAAATATAACATGAAGAATCGAATGAAAGCTTCGAAAAGCTCTTAAACGTTGTATCTCCAAACGAGCAAACATCTAGCCGTCCGAATGGAGAAACAAGGAGGACATAGAAGAGTCGAGTGGGAGGCGCCTGGACACTTACGGGGCGATCATTACGTTGGTTGAGTGCCAGAAAACGCCGAGTTCATCCCGACATTCGTTACGTCCTGGCGGAGGCAATGGTTCATCGAGTACGAAGTAACCGAATTCTCGTTGACGCGCGCATATCGCTGTAGTACGTTCGAGGGATGGCCAAAACGAACTGAGAGGAAAGTGGGGAGGAGAATGGGTAAGTGGACCATCGGGAGCGAATAACTCGATTTCAAGAGAGACAGAAATAGGATGAGATATATATAGATAGATAGAAAGTGAGAGAGAGAGAGAGAGAGAGAATGGGTGGGGGTTTACAAAGAAGAGATAGGACAACGAGAGAAGAGTATTCTCTTGGAAGAGACAAGAAGGAAGGAAGTTATCGAAGCGACAGTGTCACCGTAGTCGTACGAAGGTACCCGGTCGTCGAGGAAACTAGCGAGAAGAGAGCCAGCCAGCCAGCAAGCGAGCCAACCGACCAACCAAGTAGTCAGCCAGCCAGCCAGCCAGCTAGCCTGCCAGCCAGCCAAACCAGCGAGCGAGCGAGTAAGCGAGCTAGCGAACCAGCAAGTTCTTGTTTTATTCAGTCGGGATCATAAATTACGAATTTAAACACACAATGAAAGACGCTTAACAAGAAGCTAACGCGAGATTGAGAGGCCCCGCCCGGAACACCTCTTCTTCCGGTAGAACGACATCCTGGCAACCAATCAGCGTGTGGTACCGCCCTCAACGGCAGGGCCGTCCCACGAGGGGGACGCCAATCCGCTCTCGCCCCTCGTTTCAACGCCACGCGTCCTGGGGGCAGACCTATCCCGACCGTCGTCGCTGGCGCTCTCTCTCTCTCTCTCTCTTTCTCTCTCTCTGATTCTCTATCTATCTGTCTTTTTCTTTCTCCCTCGGTTGCCACGAGGACGAGAAAGAAGAGGAGAGGACCCTTTCGAGAACGTCTAGTACCTATGTGTCTATGTGAGTGTGCCTGTGTGTATCCTCTGTATGATTGTGACTGAATGAGGGAGAGAGAGAGAGAGAAAAAGGAAGAGAGAAAAGAGAGAGAGAGAGACAGAGAGAGAGAGAGAGAGAGAGAGAGAGAGAGAGAGAGCAGTTGCCACCAGTGAGAGTAGTCACACAGCCATCGGAGAGTCGACCGACGATACTCTCCAAGATCGCCGCTCAGACAGAGACAGAGAGTCCCACGACTCTCGCACGGTAGATGGAGACCACCGTGGATACACCGATTCACGATCGAACAGACTCCATTCTCGCGTGAGCACTTCACCATCATCGACTTCGGTGCCGGCTGCTGACGCCTCTACTCGCAAAGCGGTGTTCATCAAGAAGAAATGAACGGTGAACGTGATTATCGCGAATGACGCCCCGTGTAATACTACTATCGTGTTACTTCGAAATATCGTGAAAGATAAACTGACACTCGTGTTACGAACTATTCAAAGCAGAAACGATTGTCTCGTTTGGTATAGCCGGAAGAGGAATAAAAAGGAGGAAAATAAGAGGAAGAATCGCAGCCGTCCTTCCAGGAAAAGATTGAAAAATTTTGGGATACCCGAAAGGTCAAGGGGGCTGAGAAAGTCGAAAAAAGTCAAAGAAAATTCGTGTTATAGATCGCCGTGTTGTAGATTCGTCGATAGAGACACCCATATACACGTATACACTAGCTTTTATACACTCGTATAGAAAGGACACACGCACGTTAATCGCGCATTGACACGCCGGTGCAGAACGTCTCGTTAAGATTTACCGTTCACTATCGAATTATGCGTGGTGCGAGATGGTGTGTTCTTTGACCAGCAGCGGCGGCGGCGGCGGCGGCGGAGGAGGAGGAGGAGGAGGAGGTGGAGGAGGTGGCGGCGGAGGTAGCAACAAAAGCTGCGGTGAGAACGGTGAGCCGGAACTTCAACAAAGATCAAGTCCCGAAGGTGAGCTTGAGATTGGAGACAACATGTCTTCGTTGAGCGATCAACACAGGAGAAACAGTCATATAGCCGAGGGTGATCGTAGTTCTTCGGCTGGCTCGTCCTTGGGATCGTGCTCGCCACCGCCAACGTCAAGCCATTCGCCACCACCTCCAAGGCCACCGTGGCTTCACGATTTTCATGCCGCTGCCGCGCCCCACGTTCTGCAGTTCCTCAATCTGAGCGCTGCTGGTGGTGGGATGCTCGGTAATCAACCGTTGGCTGCTTTACATTCGATGGCCGAACGAAGCCATCAGCAACAGCAGCAACAACAACAGCATCAACACCAGCAACAACAACAGCAACAGCAACAACAACAACAACAACATCAACAGCAGCAAGGACTCCAATTGCCGCGTATTAGTGTTCCTCTCGCGACATTGACCACTCAAGGTGGGCAATCTTCGCCGACGGGCAGCACAGGAAAACACAGTCCAGCCACCTCGATTACATCGGTCGGCAGCAATCCTCATGGTATAGACACGATACTCTCGAGACCGGCGGCCGCGCATCCGCAACCTCCTGTGCCCGCCTCGCACGCCGCCCTTCAACCAGCACCGCATCCCCAACACATGGCGGCACCACGTTACGCCATGCACGCAGGATTCACCGCGTCTACCGGTTAGTATCGACTACTTTTCCTTTTCTTTAGGGTTCTCAGATATTTCTCAACCTAACCGACCTGAAGATAAGCCGTGGATTGTTATAAAATTTCATCGTTTTTATGGGCACCCTCGTAAAAGGTCAAGTTCGATATCGGTCGATCTAACCGGCGGATCTTATCACATTCTCTTTTTTATTTTTCTTCGGGGATATAAAGAATTTTTCAAATGCCTACCTGATTAAATTGTTCATTTTAAATGTTCGAAAAGTAGTTCAATAGTGCATTTTGATAACAATAGATATCATCAGAACAAATTGAATGTCGAATTGAAACAGAGTCGTATTAAAATGAGATTTTTAATACGTACCTATATTCCGTTGGAATTTCATGAATTCCTTCGGGAAGAAGACCAAAGTTACGAAAGTTCGAATCCAAGTCCATAAAAGAACCGAAACGATGTTTCGAGACATCCCTGGAATATTGCCACAAAGTCGAATTGTTCCTTTTACAAAGATCACTGTAAAAAGAATAAAACATTAGGGTAGATGTTCGAATAGAAAGAATCGCGGAACGAAGGAGACATAATAATATCTTTGGAAACCTTTCAACGTTACGATTATGCAAAGATAAATATGATCCAGTGTTAAATTTATTTTCGTATAAAAATTTGTAAAATATAGCTATAGATACTCTCCATAAAGCATCAGACGACGTGTGTGGTTAACTACGACGACGCAAGAACTCACGCAAAAAACATCTATACCCTAACAAATTCACGATCATGATTTATAATCTGTCTTTTCAAATAGAAAGAATATATAATCGTCATCGCAATTAAATAAATTTCAATCTGACGGTTCGGCTATAAATATTCACTTTTTATTATAAAGAAAGAGAAAAAAAAAAAAAATAATAATAATAATAATAATAATAATAATAACGACAATGAACGAAAAAAAAAGAAAAAGAAAATAATTTCTTGCAGTAGCCACGTAATTACGATCGTATGTTCTCAAGGAGCGTCATTAAACGCTAATTCCTGTTACGCGTATATAATGACAAAGACTGACGAGCTCGCGATTAAACACGATCGAATAAACGTTCTACGTTACTAACGTTGAGTATTTCCCTTTAAAAAATTAAGTACTCGAAATGAGCTTGGTAAGAGCGTGCGAACGAAAGAAGCGAATTAATGACACTCATTCGGTATCATTGGGCGATGCGCGATGGTGCTGTTGATGTTGACGGTGATGTTGGTGACGGTGATGGTGATGATAGTTGTGATGATGGTGATTGTGATGATGGTAGTGGTGGTGGTAGTAGTGGTGGTAGTGGTGGTGGTGGTGGTGGTGGTGGTGGTGGTGATGATGATGGTGATGGTGGCGGTACCTGATCGCCAGGTCGACCGAGAAACGTGGGAGGTAAAGTGGTAGTAAAATTTATGCTTACCGAATTACGTGCTCCCACGGTACATTAACGAGCGACGCAAACGAGCGACGTTGCTTAACATTCATGGCATTAAATTTCTAAACGATTTGCTCTTCGCGAAGTGCTGTTATGTTTCACAATAATGAAACACATCGGGTGGTATGCTCGAACGTGTTTTACTCGCGTTTATCCGTAAGAACCAAGCGTCGATTTCCGCGTCCGGCAAACATTAAGATATCAATCATAGTCGAGAAAAGAAGAAAAAATGGTATGCCACCGAAAGTCATTATCCAAATACGAGGTGTCTTTAGCTACCATGAGAAAAATATTTCGTTAATATGTTGGAACACGATCGTTGTGTCATATGATAATAAAAATTTTGTCTTAAATTCGTGACATCCGAAGTATTACATAGATACATATCTATGTAAGTAGTACATACTTTAGACTGCTCGTTAAAATATTTTACAACGCTCAAAGTTAATATAAAAGTAGAATAATAATTTTCTTTTTCGTGTCTTCTATGAAAGCGTATCTACGTGACCGATGTATCTTCATTGTGTAGCAATGTACGTGACAAGCATTATATTCTCTGGAGAAACTTGTTCACGCACATATACGTTTATTACACTCACGACTTGTAAACCAAGTTGTGCTCTTTCGTATAATTTCTTCGTCGGTGATTTTTAAAAATGACTCCCTTTTTTTAAGAGATCCTTATTACACTGTTTATTATTATATCTATATTCGTTATAATTTTGCCATTGATTTATCCTAATGATATACTTGATGAATGTGGATAAATAATATTACAATTCCCGTCGGACACACACGCCATAGGTTTACTTCGATTTATTCCGGATTTATCGACATTTTCGTCGCGACAACGAATAACACCATTTACAATTTATAGCTACGATTAAAGATTATAAATAAAATATTCGCGATCGATATATAGGGATGTTAACTGTAACCAGTACGTTATACCGACCATATTCGCTATATAATAAATGCTTTATATATTTCGATATAGGAACAGATACGTTTGATGAATAGCGTTCGATACGCGGTATTTAAAGAGCGCACGTGCGCGAAACAATTTATAAAATTGAGATGCGTTCGTTCCCTGTAATCGAAGTATACCATTTTCGACGTGTAAATATGAACGCATTTTGACAGCTTTACCGGAGAATTATTTAATCTTGTCTCTCCACGTTACGATATTATACAAAATGTAAATATTTATATATGTGATTTTACGCATGATCAGAGAAACTTGAGAATATGAAATATAAAAAAAGAGAGTCGCGAAATGAAAACATTCAGAATGTTATCGGACAAAAAAATAGAGAAAATCATTTCGAAATCGATCGATAACGAACGTATTTTAAGGTTGAAATTCATAGTAGTAATAATGTTAAAAATAAGTAAAATAAAATATTGCCGACGGAAAGTGAAGTTTTGGAGTTATCGATAACGATTTAATCCAACGAAACGACTTCATTATCTATATGAGATTGTAACGTTAATTACGAATGCAATAGGCACGAACAAGCATTTACGTTGCGGCAATCGGTATTCTACATTATTAGAATAAACCATATATATAGAGAGATATCTATATACATACATATATTGATGAGTTGCCCGACGGAATGTATTTGCCGGACGATATTCGCTAGGAGGGTAGCACGGCGATACGTTTTAGCGATATTACCAAAGCTTTCAGCCTGGCACAACGCGTCGATGTTAATAATCGTCGATCATTATTAATAATCGACGTTAATATGCGTCGGTATTTTATTCACGCTGATTGCACGCCGATACTAATTACTTCGAGCGATACGCCGCGTGTCCTGGGTTATACAGCCTGCGTTTGATAACTCTCATTATTGGCCCATCGTTTATCTCCTTGGTGAGAAAAAAGTGCTTCTTATAGCTTTTACGTTTCTTCTTTAATACTTTCAAAATAATTTTATTGATTTATACGTATTTTTATCGAAGAAAAAAAAAAGAGAAGAAAAAGAAAGAAGAAAGAAAGAAAAAGAAAATAGCAAAAAAAGGAAGAAGAACACATGGTATACTTTTTTCCTTCATACTTTGAAAGAGGATCGAAAATAGATTTTTCATTTTCATCTTTCCCATTGTGGAATTTCTAAAAAAAAGAAAAACCACACTATACCAAGGCGTACAGTATCGCTAGTGGCGTTTGATTAACGATCATAATCATCGAGCGAACGCCACCTTCCACGTTCGCATCCATTTTTACAATGTTTTCATCGTTTAAATCAAGAAGCACTGTCCATAGTGTCCCATAAATGTCTTATAAAAGTCACCGCCGGGGGTCCGTTTAAGTGGCAAAGTGTTTCCCTTCATCTCCTTTCTTTTTCCCGGAAAGCTACAGGTCCTTATTACGGATTACGTTACAGATTCCTATTACGGATCGGTATACAAGATGAAGGAGTCCTTTTAATATTTTATTGATGAGTACGCTGTCCGTGCTTCTTTACGATGCTATAAATTCCATTTGATTTGGTAGTGGCGGACAAAAGGAAATGACAGTGGTCCGTTTGTGTATCGTGGTCGCTTCCATTTTCGTCTCCTTTCCAGGTAAGCTCAGTCGAACGTGACAGTAAAAACGGAAATAACCTTTTATTATACCATAGCTAAGGTGTCTATTGTTAAAGGGAAATTAAGCGTTTGCTCGCAACAACCACAGTCTCCGGAGGATTCACGAAAAACTACAAAAAAAATATATGAAAAATTCTATTTCACGATCCTCGCCCCTTACATATCTATAGCTATTACTATTTATTATAAAAATGATTATTATTTTTTTTTTCTTTTAAACAATATTACACCTACGGAACGAAGAACAAGTTAGTAGCACGATGATTTGTCGTCGTCTCAAAATCCACATTGTCTCGTACGCGTATAAAATCGTTGAACGTTCCCGCGAGCAGTTATGAGCTATTGGAGTTGTTAAAGGGGTCTAACTTGGTTTGGTGAAAGGGAGGAAGACTAAGGTATTCGACCTCTTCCCCTACTTCGAAAGACTATCAAAACGCATGTCTTACATTCAAATCCATCGAAAATTCGCGTCACTAAAAATAAATTCCTATAAAACAACTAAATAAATTCCTATAAGATAAATGATAATAAATCGAGTTAAGGGACTTTTCTATTCTGTTTGCAGGTATTGGACAGTTCCAACAAAGGACAGAACCACGACATCCGGCTGTCTATTGGCCGGGTCTTCAAGGGTTGGTCAGCGATCCTTTAGCATGGCGAGCAAGATTACACACGTGTAAGTCCGCCTGAATTTCATTTAAATTATCATGAACAGAATAAAGAAGAGATCATTGACAAGGATCAAAAGATATTTGAGCTAAAATAAACTTTTCGAAAAAAAAGAGAAAGAGAGAGAGAGAAAGAGAGAAAGAGACAGCTAGGAATTCTCATACTACTCTATTATCGTCTTGAGACAGAAAAACACTAACGTTAAATCGCTCGATGACAGTCGTTCGACGTCTAAGAGATAACGCTTATTACAGAAAAAAGAGAGAGAGAGAGAGAGAAAGAGAAAGAGAGACAGACAGATAGATACACACAAGCTCTTTTTTCCTTTCTCGCATTCGAGAATGCCTGCGGATGTTTTCAACTTTTCCTCCCCCGGTATCGTAGCACGCAGGTTTGACAGCTGCCTCTTTGTTTGCTTTTGCGGCAAGAAAATCACGGGACCGAAAGTGAAAAAACACTTGCCTTGACGACGACAACGACGGCGATGTTCTCTTTTTTAAACAATATCCCGGAAAGGACAGAGGCGAAAGCACTGACCTCCGAACCGTGACGACGAGTGAGACATGTCAAGTGGAATGAATTAGAGGAAGAAAAGCAGAAAACACTGTCCGAAAATAGAGCAAAACCTATTCCGCTCTTATTTCGACGTCGGTAATCATGAGAACGGATATGGTATACGGGAAACGTGAAAATTAGAAAAATTCGACAGAAAGAATTCTTTTGTTTTTCCTTGTCTCATTTAGACTCATCGTGTTACTAACAAAACGTGATTTAACTCTTTCATTCCTCTGATTGCTCACATCTGTTTATTCGTATACTAACACATTCGATGAACAAATACAATAATAAAAACAAAGAGGTCTGTTAAAAAAGCAGTAACGTTGAGAGCGATTGAAATAAAATCAACGAAAGTAAACAAAGCTAAAAAGATCAATCGATCATTCAAAAATAATTAAGTTCATCGAATCGTTGTACAGGAAAGGAAAACATTTTGACCCTCGTAAACGATGTTCTAACGTGACTGGCCCTCCCTAAAGATATCAAAAAATCAAGAATCTTGCTTGTCTAGGCAAATCCTATCGTCGACATTGGCGTGACCAATCGTAAGAGCTATCAAGTAGACCGCCAAAAGACAGGGAGAAAGAGAGAGAGAGAGAGAGAGAGAGAGAGAGAAAGAGAGAGGAGAAAAAAATCATGAACAAAGTGAAAGAACACGTGACGGCACGCGGAGGGGGTGTCATTTCCCCTTTCAAGAGCATAGATCAGCGTGCTCGCTTTCTACCCTCTCTCTCTCTCTCTCTCTCTCTCTCTCTCTCTTTCTCTGTCTCTTTCTACATCCCTAGGGCAGCACATGTGTGACGTAAGGAGGGTGCGAGAACGTAAGGATGTAAGTCAGTAGAAAAGGCTCTACGGGCGTGTGTTGTTTCACCAGCGCGTACACGAGTGTCACTGCGGGAGGACGAATAAGAGGGTGGCGTAGTGGTAGTCCGCTGTGGCCGTTGGATCCAGAATATCATATTCAATATCAGCCCTTCTATCCCGACTCCACCCTCTCTCTGTCTGTCTCTCTCTCTCTCTCTCTCTCTCTCTCTCTCTCTCTCTCTCTCTCTCTCTCTCTCTCTCTCTCTCTCTCTCTACGTTTTCCACACTCGCGCGAATAACTCTGGCAATATTTTAACTGCGGCATCACGGTATCCACACACCACTGTCCCCTTCAAACCTCCTGCTACCTAGCTACCTCTCTAGCTACCTACCCTTCGACTCGAAGTGTACCCCTCCTCCTACCCTCCCCCTTTACGTCCCACCAACATACTCTATGGCCCTCGACGGCCCAGCAGCATCGAACGTAAGTTACATCGGGCACCGTTATATTTTATATTCCAGAGCGATACGTTGATCGGCTCTATGGGTCTCGCGAGGCGCAGAAAAGTCGAACGATCGCCGCGGGATCCAACGCGTTCTTCCTGTATTTATGCCCATCTCATTCCTCTTCGATACTCGGAAATACATATAAAGCTTGAAGACAAACCGATAGAAAAAATTCTTGAGAACGTTTCCGTCAAAACTATGTGTGTCCATATTACAATGATTTTCTCTCTTTTAGATTAATTATTTTATTTACTATTAAATCATATGATATTTATGGTTTGTATAGTTTCTTTTCCCTTTCTTTTTTCTTTCTAACAAAATTATATCTCGAAGAAACTATTACGATAGATAAAAAAAAATATATAAATAAAGAAAAAGTTGATATTAAATCTCTACTAATAATACGATATTGATACAAATAATAATAAAAAGAAAGAGATTTTTTTATTCGATCCTTGTTCCTTATTTTCTCGCGAAGCCGTCATTTCCTATCAATGGTTAACAGGCAAACGTTTGCTTGCTCCGATATCGCTCGCGTTTATATAATCGCGCGCGTACATTATCTCGTTACCATTCGATTCGCATATAGTGTTTGACACGCATATCACTTGTACGGTCTAAATCGAATGATTAAATTATAGCTGTGTACGCATCGACATGTTGTAAAGATTAATCCGACAATTTCTGGCATTATACGAAATTACTATCCTCTCCTGGGCTATTCTCCAAAGATGAAATCCGTTAATCGAGAGAACTCCGATTTACGTTTTTATAATATTTACATTCGAACAAATATCCTGTCCTTTATACACTCACATAACGACGATCATTTTCTTTCATTCATAGTTCGTTTTTATAAGTTACGAATACTTTTATAATAGTTTAAAAATAAATGAAGATAAGTGAAATAATTCACATACAATATATTTTATCATTTCAAACTCCATTTTCATAGAAATAATATCTTTGTGATGTTGAATCAATAAATTATTTTACTATGTCATAATATTATCATTCTATATATACATACATATATTAGATTATATTTATGGTCTATGATATATAACAGTAATTATTGAACAAAATCCTTGATTTGTCGAATGGACTTTAAATATTCTTCATGTGTATCATAAAGGCAGACAGTACGTAACAATAAGCAGATGAACGAGAGGCGAATCGAGCGAAACGCGGTACCTATCGTAGAGGAGGGTGGAGAGTGCGGTAAGCAGCTCATTAGAACCCTCCCCGCCGACTGGCCATTATTGCCTCGTTCCGTATTCCGTTACAAATTGCTTTATTAAATTAAAGTCCCACAACCCACACTGTCGTGTCGACCCTACGCCCTCTTCTTTCTCTCTCTCTCTCTCTTTCTCTCTCTCTCTTTCTCTCTCTCTCTCTTTCTCTTTCTTTCTCTTGTTCATGCACGCGAGAGAGTCCGTGCCCACATGCCACACAAATACGTTCGACCGCGTGCCCTCGTCCATAAGACCTCACCCTACCCTTCCGACTTCTTAATTACCCTTGGAAATTCTCCTGAACCTTTTTCTCATCTAATTAAGACAGAGATCCCGACCGTAAGACGTTCTTTTGTTTCGTCTATTCCTTTTCTTTTAGATCTGTTCTTATATCTCTTTCTTTCTTAAATTACAAATAATTGCGAAGTTTTAATTATAATTACATCGTACCTTCTCGTTACAGTATCTCAACAGCTCGGCTGTCAGCAGGGAATGACAGGTGCTGGTGGTGGTGCTGGAGAACACGAAGGTGGAAAGAAAAAGCACACGAGACCGACATTTAGTGGGCAGCAGATATTCGCTTTGGAGAAGACTTTCGAACAAACGAAGTATCTCGCTGGACCTGAACGCGCTAAATTGGCTTACGCGCTTGGAATGTCAGAATCGCAAGTGAAGGTACGAGAGAATTACTTTAAAAGGAACTTTATGATAGTAATTATAACTCTATAGCGAAAAAAAAAGAAAAAAGATTGATAAGTTGATTATCAAACTATCTATCCGCGCAATTAATTTTTTTCGCTTGACGCTGTTGAAAAAAAAAATTCAAAAGAGAGAGGAGAAAAAAGAGAAAAATATCTAATATTATTGCACCGTTTCGTGCGGAAATGATCGTTAAACCAGGACAGCTTTCATCGAGATCACGAAAAGGGCTCGTCGTCGTCCCTAAATCCTAAAAATCGGCAAAAAAGATCGGATTGTCCTATCGTCACCCCGGGCAACGCAAACACTCTTTCCTCGGAGGAAAGAGAGAAAGAGAGAGAGAGTGAGAGAGAGAGGGGGGGAGGGAAAGAGAGGGACAGAGAGATATAGAGATATAGAGAAAGAGAGAGAAAGAGAGGAAAGAAAAAAAGTAGCAAGCCGATCTACGGAGGGAGAGGCACGATAGAAGGAGGATGAGTTTGGACGAGTGGTAGTAGGGTGAGATTTTAAAAAGCGTCCTGGTTCGAGCGGCTCGGCTTACTCCATCAACGCGTACGGTGAAAGCGGGTGAGGCCTCTAACGAGGGAGCTTGTAAAAAGTTCGAAGGATAAAAGAAGGTGACAAAACAGCCGGAGACGTGTCAAGCTTTGCGGCACCTGCGTCATCCTCGTGGCGTCGCTCTCGTAGAAAAGCTCGGCACTTCCCACCGTTTCTCTTCTACTTCTTCTTCTTCTTCTTCTTCTTCTTCTTCTTCTTCTTCTTCTCCTCCAGCTTCTCGCGAAAAGAGAAGAGGGGTGACGTTGTAGTAGTAGGGTCGGCTTTCTCTCTCTTTCTCTATATCTCCCCACCCCTCGACGAACAACCCCTCTCGATTCTCCTAAAGCCCACACCCCGTTCGAGCACTCTCCTCTTCCAACTCCTCTCAACGGTACTAGCAGTGGCGTCGAAGCTCTTTCACCCTCCTCCTTTCGCCATCTTCGAGAGGGAACCCATTTCGAGCCCTCAATCCCCTTCCGGCTGCTGTTGCTACTGCGGTGGCGGCAGACTCGCGCCCATGCTACTACTCCTGCTCTCTCTCTCTCTCTCTCTCTCTCTCTCTCTCTCTCTCTCTCTCTCTTTCTCTTTCTCCTCTCACGGAGTCCGCGTCGATGTAGCGCTGTCATTGGCTCGTTCTACGCCGCCATATTTACATTTTTATTGAAAGCTACAAGTCCGCGTCCGTGAGTGATGGCAAGGGGATGAGAGCAAACTCCTTTCTCTTTGGCACGAGAGAGAGAAAGAGAGAAAGAGAGAGAGAGAAAATGATGGTGGATAGACGAGTGGGTGGCAAAGGAGAGACGAGAGAGGGGGTTGGATGACGAAGGCGACGCTCAAGGGAAGGCCGAGACGAGGCGGAGAGGAGGGTGAGCATTCAATTACCTCGGATTTCCTCGGAAAGAGGCGATTCACCTCCGCGTATATGCCATCTTCGAGGGTGAGATTGCCTTCGGATCCGAAGGAACACCGCGGCGCTTTTCCAAAATATTACTACGATATTGTACGTACACGCTCGTATGCTCTCTTTCTCTTCTTACTCTTTCTTACTCACCGATTCGATAGGTATAAAGAATAGAGGGGTGTAATCCTACGACGAGAGTATATGTATATCTTGTACTTTCTCGCAATTTTCTTGCATTATGTCATTAATTCTTAATGCAACGTACTTTTTCTTTTATTATATTAATACGAAGATTTAAACGATTGCTGCTGTGTCATTTTCTTCGTTGAAAAGATTAACGTTTTTGCAGCTTTTTTTACTTTTCTTCTCTTTTTTCTAAGAGAAAAAAGGATACGTTGAAAACATTCAAGTGGAGAAACGTCGCGTCTAAAAATACGAAAATAACGATCGCAAAGCACGAAAAGATTAAAGTCGTCGAGAGTCCAGACCCAAGTCGATATTCTCCTCGTTCGTGATCCGTGCACCACCGTGAACGATGCGATTCAAAACAACGGATGTGAGAACGGTGGAGAGGGTTTCAAAAGGGGGCATCCTGGTTTTTGAATATAATAATACGAGATACCGGGATAAGAGTCCGACGACGTTGTGAGATCACGCATACGGGAGAAAAATAGTTTCTCCTAATGGAGTCTCTCCTTAATACCGTGCGTTAGCTTTCTAAAGGTACAATGAGATGCGGAGGACGCCAAAGAAGATGGCGGCGGCACGATCAAACGTCAGGTAGAAATGTATTGTAGAAAAGTGTCCACGTTTAAGAGAGTAAGAGAGAGAGAAAGAGAGAGAGAGAGAGAGAGAGAGAGAAAGAGAGAGAGTGAGTGAGAGAAGACGAGTTCCGCTTGTCATCGTGTGATAATTTTGTTGCTTCTTCTCGCTTACGTGACCGTTCCCACCTGTATCCATTTACAATCGCACTACTGATGAAGCACAAATTGATTCGAGCACCCACAATATCGTATCTTATGAATTAGCTCTCGAAGAACGGATTCCTCTTGATAGAAGATGAATCGGTATGAATGCTATTTTAAAATATTTTAATACTTTATGCCACACAGATGACGTCCACCTATCTTACTTTATTTAGTTAATCTTAAAATGGATTTTTGCAAATGATGCTAAATTTGTAAAAAGAAAAATCTTCGAACAGAAGAAAAGAAATTTTATCGTGTACGATAATGAAGGTCGAACAAAAAAAAAACAATAAAAAGAAAAAAAAAACAAATTGATTATCCCCGATCAATGCGATTGGAAATTCGTTCGAAACGAATAAATTTTACAAATTCCCGTTCCTACGGAGATCGATCTTTAAATAATCAAAAATTTTTCAGATTACGATACGGCGCGACGGATTTCGATTAAAATACTAACGTAAATCAATATCGTTCCCCCTGTGGTTTCGGTGTAATACCGGATCATTACATGCTGAACGTATCACTTTTTGCAATATCGAAGAGGGATTCAAACGGTACGGGCGGGCTTTAGTAGTTCTGCCCGATGAAGATTTATATGTCCTACCGCATATGACATTCCCAGATTTATAACTTTTTCGCCAACGATACGATTTCTCTTTTAATTAATGCGCGCTTTTTGCAATGGAGATATGCGTTTCGCACGGAAAATTTATCGCGTCGCATATCGCATCGACGATCGTTCGAAAATCTTTTTTACCAGACGAGAATTTTCTTACTTTTTTCTAACTTCTCTCTTTTTTTTCTTTTTTTTTTTTTACTTTTCTTTTACTTTTCCTCTCCTTTCCTAAAATCGAAGAATTCATTTAAAACAATATAGATTGTCCTATACTACAAACCATCGAGAAAATCTCGTACCACGGTTTATCGATTCTCACAGCTTCCCAATATAACTACTCTTTAATCCGGCGAACGACATTTATTGCCTACTGGATCACATCCTAAACGATGATAACGCAAGCACGGCCTAATTACTGCTTGATTAACGTTTTACCGTATACGTTATGGACGCAACAGAGGTTTGATTCGGATATTTACTATGTGATCTTCCATTGAATACGAATATGGTGTATTAGACCAATGACATCGTCTTTTACGATCAATCGTTAAGATCAATATCATCGCATAGAAAATTTAGCTATTATTACTTTTTCCATTTTATTTCTCTTGATTCTGATGAAACTGCCAATGAGTAACAAGAGTGAAAGAACGAAACGAAGTCTGAGCTTTTAGGAAAGGGAAGAGAATAGGGAAAACTATTCTCCCCTCTATTAGAATCTAATACGACAAAGTGAACGTCGTGCATTTGCGAGTTAAAGACCGTGACACCCTTAGTATATAAACGCCAAGCTTAGTATCGAAACGTCAAGTTATGTGCATGTATGCGCGTGCGTATAAACGTATACATACGATATGTGAAAACGAGATGAACTGACAGATAGAGAAATGGACCTTTTTCATTAATTTATCGTTCGATCTTTAACACTGATTCACTCTTGGCTGACGAGTAGAGTAGAGAGCGTAAAAGAGATGGGGAAAAAAGTGTGGAACTCATGGTGTAGGTGTGAAAATCTGTTGAAAAAAAAAAAAATAAAAAAAGAGGGAGAGAGAGAGAGAGAGAGAAAGAGAGAAAGGGAAAAAAAGAAAAAAGGAAGGAAAACACAATACCGATAAAAAGAAGAGAAAGAGATATAAAAAAAAAAAAACAAAAAATATAAAACGTACACTTATCATTCATGCGTCGCGCGAACGTGCCGAGCGTAAAATTTATGAAATGTTGTCGCTAGGTATTGGGGATTCAACCGACCGAGATGGGAGCAGGCTAAACAGTATGGATGAAAATGATTTTGACTTGTAAATCTTCAAGGAGATCTCGAGTAAACCTATCGCAGATGGCGATCCCTTAAAGAGGTCTTTATCAAATATCTATTACATAAAAAAGCAAAATACAAAAGTGATAATGAAAAGATGATTATTTTCTCTAAAGAATAGATATCCAATATTCTCTGTAAACTTTTTCTTTTTTTTTTCTTTTTTTTTCCACGAAAACAATACATATACTCCAAAGCCTAGCTTTTATTTTATCCACGAGAGAGAAATTACACTCGATAAATGCATACTATTGTAGAGTCAATAAACTCTACGACTTTGGAACGTAAAACGAACTAGTTGAAAAGTAACGTTAAGTATTCGACTAATTCGAACGAACAAGTGCAAGAGAAAAGGAAAGGAAGGAAAAAGAAAGAAAGAGAGAAAAAGTGAGAGAGAGAGAGAGAGAGAGAGAGAGAAAGATAGGAATAGAGATAGAGTGAGGGAGATCAGTAGGGATAATACGTGGGGTCGTAGAATGGGTACGGAGGCCTTACAACAAGGAAGAGGGGAGGGAGGGTCGGGTAGATCGGTTACGTCTACTCGTCGATAGCGATGCCAGTGGTAGTACTAGTACTAGTAGTAGTAGTATTGTAGTAGTGTAGTAGTAAAGTGGCGTGGCTTTTCTACCCTCCCATCCGCGT